GTAAAACAGGAGGAGGGTTTCCTCCGCCCCCCGTGTTTTTCCTTTTTTTTTCGGGGGCATGTCCGTTTTTTTTCAAAAAACCCCCGCTGGGGGGGGGGGGGGGGGGGGCAAGGGGGTACGCTGGCGCGATGTACGGTTTGGATCATGCCGTCCTCTGCAGCAGTACGTGGTGACCCGTCGTGCCTTACTTTATGGTGCCGTGTACAAGTACATGTGGGGTGGCGAGCCAACTCCGGTTAGTGCCGGCGTCAGCATGGGGTAAGCGCACGGGCCGGCCGGACTTTCTTTTTCTCTTTTTCGAGTCGTTTTCAGCTCTTGACTTTCTGCGTGTGTGTGTGAAGGGGGGGCGGGGTTATACACTTCAATCAGCGGGTGGTTTTCCCGGAGTCTCTAGTCCTGCTTGATTTATCGTTAGGTATTTCGTGGGTGTTTGGTTGTGTGGCCCGGGCTTGTGGGTCGCTTTGTATGGGGATGAGGTAGGACGTTTCGAATATCGCACGTCGGCATTTACTTGACTTGGAGTCTCTCGTATTTCACTGGGAGTCTCTCAGGAGGTGGCTGCACACACGCTTCAATGTGCGTCTAAGTGGCGGGCGAGGGAGGGGTGGGGTAGGCATCGAAGGCGGTTGGTTTTGAATAACATTGCGAGAGAATACTTGTTTTATTTTGGTTGTACGTTTTATTATCGTTGTTGGTAGATACACAAGGGTGTGTAGAGTTTTCTGCGGACCTAGTTAGGGTTTTGTCCAGATGCTCTAGAGGGAGCCGTACCGAGTTGGAGCACGGTGTAAATTGTACCCTAGACGCACAAAGGGTGAGGATTACTGGAGCCCGGGAGTGGCGGCGGCTGATGCGGTGACATTCTCTTCTATACGATGTTTTTACTCGACATGTTTACGAACACCCGTAAAGTATTCAGCGCGATAATTGACGTTGTAGGATCAATCAACCGGTTTTTTTTTTCTTCGTCTCCCGTTTGCACGTTTTCGTGCTGTGCGCCGAAGCAGCGAATGCGAGAGAAAGTTGCATTTCATGGCGGCTTCGACCCCCGTCGTCCCCCCTCGCCGACCTCTCTTGCTTTCGCGCAAGCAATGTGCTCCCGAATACTTTATAGGATACGGTTTCTTGTATCTCCATTGCACCAAATCTCCCCCAAGCATCAACAAGCTGGTGTCGGATCTTCCAAGTCGGTTGCACAAAAAAAACGAATCTATCTGCGATGTACAAGATCGCTTGCCCCCGTTGGGATGGATGGCCATGCCATCTGTTCCAGACGCAATGTCGTCGTTTTTCCAACAGCAAAGGTTTTCAGAAACCTTGCTCTTCCTCACTCTGTACTCGTTGATGTTTCGGCAGTGATCACGAACCGGTCTGGCTGGTAGCCAATGCGTCATGCTCCCTACCCTTCATCAGAGAGAGGGGAACACTTTTTCGTAGTCGCAAAAAAAAAAACAGAAAGAATCGAACGCATATAGATGAGACATTAAGCTAAGCAACACACAATTGTGCACCCTGTAGACCCCCTCCCCAAGGAAGGTTGGTTACTACCCACAAGGCTTGTAAGCGTTCTCATCAAAAGAGCGCCTTGAACACACGCACACATCGCCGTCGGCATTAGCTAGCTCACGCCAACAGATAGATGGCAGTGAGTGGTGGTGGATGTACGGTATTCATTCATGGGTGGTGGTAGGAGAGACCGTGTTGTCCCACACACGGAGGAAGAAAACCCTCGGAGGAGCCGCCTCTACACCCTACCCACCCACCTACTACCCGACCTACACCATGATGATAAATATCTCCAACCTCGCCACTGTTCACCGCCCCCACGCCCACCCACTTCCACCACCAAATCATACACAGTTAGTTAGTTGTTCACGCCTGCCTGCACTTACAAACAAACGTGGCAGTCATGCTCACCATCTATTATTATTGTATCAACAGTTAGAACTTGAGCTTGCTTGAGCACCATTTAATATGTTAGTCCGGCTAAGAACCCCACTGAATCCCACGATGTATAGCGGCCATTTGTAGCCTAACCTTAACAACTACCACGTACGTACGTACAAGAACCGCCGCCGAGCCGCGGCCAAAACGATATGTAGGCCCTGAAGCAACTAACTGCGGACGGACGCAAACAACTGTAAAAAAAGTGTCTCACAGCACAGGGTGCACGTAAAAGTCATCCCGCCCACCTATTAAATAATAGGTAGTACCCCCCCCGCTCCCTTGGGAAGGCCGAAAAAAGATTGTCGGTTTTTCACCTCTTTTGGGACTTAGAGAACGTTTCCCACAAGACGCTTTATTGTATGGGGGACACATCGTGTGCTACGAGGGACGATGTTTCACGCATACTTTGAGCGGGTTAGTTAGGTGCTCTCTTAATTTTATGCTGCACACCCGTTTCGTGTGATCATGGCTTAGAAGGGGTTCGCAAGAGAGGACTCTAGCTCGCGCATAGGGTACCGGTACAATAATAGGGTTCTCCCCCACGGCCCCGCCGTGTTACAGAAAATAGACTACCGTCACCCCCCTCCCCCCCCCTCGAAAATGTCCCAAACACGAACTTGGGTGCATTGGCGTCGAAAAAACGTTTTTCGTGCACCCTCCTTACACAGACAGCATCATGATTATAAATATATGCATTTTCACATGAAAAACGATACAGCCCTGTACATGAAGCTCCCCTCGAGAGCCTCCGACTTTACGCCCGCACCGCCTTCACCCCCCTCTCCTCTCCCTCCTCGTCCCCACGGCAGCAGCAGGGTGCTTCCCAGCACGCAGCGGAAGTCGACCAGCGCTCGCGCGGACCGCCGTGCCTCCCGCCAGCTCTCCTTCCCCGGAGCCCCCTCCCGGCTGGCCGCGGCCGCCACCACCGCCGCCACAGCGACAGCCGCTGCTATGCCCTCCATCGCGGTCGGCCAGTGCTCCAGGGCAGCCTCCCCCAGGAGAAGGGTCGGGAGGAGCCACCACAACAGCGGCCGGAGGTCCTTCGCGAACGCCCGCGAAGACGCCAGGAGGAGGCTGGTGACGAGCTCGGCGCAGAGGAGGAGGGCCGCGGCGGGCCGCCAGACGACGTTGAAGAAGACGCAGAAGAGGGAGTCGGCCAGGGCGTGGTAGCTCCCGTGGCCCACGAACTTCTCGAGGGAGGGGACGAACCGGGGGGCGTCGAGCTCGGCGTGCCGCTCCCGGCGGGGACGCATGCGGCAGCCGGACAGGGTGAAGGACGGCCTGACGTAGAACTGCCCCTCTTGGCCGCCTCCGTTCCTTCTCCCCTCCCCGTCTTCTCGTGCCGTTGTTGATTTGAGTCCTACTCCTCCTTCGTTACCTCGTCTGGCTGCAACACCCGACGACGAGGACGACGATGGCGATGGCGATGATAGCGATGGCGATGATAGCGACTCATTGCCGTTGTTCCCTTGTTCCAACCCGCTACCACTACTGTTACCAGGAGGAGGAGCCGCCGACGAAACAGACGCCGTTTCCTCCAATGACGTCCTGCCACAAGAGTTGGACGAGCTTCTTCTGCTGCTAGCAGACGTCGTAGGGTTCGAGGGTGTAGCCCTTTCCGCCGCCAACCTTTCGTCGTTCTCGTCGTCGTCGCCTTCGCTGCTGCTGCTGCTGCTGTCTCTTCTGCGGAGGGCGGATGCCCCACCCTCTAAAACGCTGTCCTTGGCCATGGTGCTGTCGGGAGCGCATCCGTTGCTGCTGCTTGAGAACTTGGAGAGCCTGGACACGTGCGAGCAGGTGTGTTCGATCCCTTCGTTGGCCATCCAGAAGAGCGCGTCGCGGTACCCTAGGTCGTAGAGCCAGTCGATCGCCCCGGGGTCGTTCGGAGGCAGGGCGATCCAGGAGAGGGGCACGTACCGGGAAGGGCGTATCGACGCGGTGCTGGCGTACAGCGGGCTGATGGTCACCGTTTTGCGTCCCTGGCGCGGTTGGTATGCGTATGTACGTAGAATGTACGTGTGCGCGAGTAACAAGCAGGTGCCGAGGAGGTGGGGGACGTTTAGACGCGAGCTGGAGATCAAAGCAGGCACTCCTTTCATTGTTGTTGCTATCACTACGGTACTGAGCAAGGACCGGAACAGTTGCAGCCCGAAGAGAAGAGAACCACCGTTCGTACATTACATGCCGAGCGGTACTGCAGTGAAAAACCATCCGGGTTGGGTTTGGCCCGGTCGTGGCTTCCCCCCCCCCCGACTGACGCGCGCTAGGTACGGTCGGGAAAATGATATTGGTCCACCTTTGGCAAGGTAGGAAGGAACGATTGGCCATTGGTGATCGGTCCTCCTTGGAACAGTGCTCCTCTCTCCCTCTCGAGGACGCTGGTCTAACAACGAAGAAGCCACGCAAAACGTCAGTGAGTACGCCCCCCTCCCCTCCCTCATCATCGCCGTCCGAGATAAAAAACACCTCCTCCTCCTCCACCTCCTCCTCTTCCTCCTTACCCCAGCCTCCTCCTCGTCCAGGCTGGGAGCGCTCGGTCCCTCGGAGAACACCCCGTCGAAGCACCGCTTCCCCCGAAACACGTGCGGCAGCACCAGGGGGAAGCACGCGCACGAGCACCGCAGCGCGTCGATGAGGTCGTCCCCGTCGCGGAACTCCTTGGCGCGGATAGACTTCCAGCCGAGCACGGAGGACAGGACCACCGTCAGTCGGCCGGGCGGGGACGTGTTTCGGCCCACCCTCTCGACGGGCAGGCACGCGAGCAGGGACTCAAGCAGGAACTGGCCGATGTAGAACATGCCATACACGAAGCCGAAGAACCTCGCGGCGTGCGCCCGGGGTATGAAGCTCGTCTTGGCCTGCTCCACTATCTGTTGTTAGTTGTTGTTGGCCGTCGTCGTCGTTCATCAACAGAAAATTTCGTCGTTGTTGTTGGCACAGAGGGGGGGGGGGGGAGCGGTGCTTGTTCGCATGGGGTTGTGGTGTGGTATCTGCTCCAGGGCAAGCGTGGCGCCTGCGGAATACCAACAGCGATATGGTTTTTACCGGCCTGATTTCGGTTGGAAGGTTTATGAGCCTCGGCGCTCACGGGGAGTGACGACATCCCTCTTGTTGGGCTTGATTGAGTTTGTTTGTTGACGTACCTCTCACGAAAACGACATCTTCCATTCATTGCCATTTTTTGTCCCCCTCGGCGACTACGGAGGTGTCGCCATATTGTTTAGTCTATGACTTCCCTCTGTCATCGGTGCGTTGTAGGTTTGCGGGATGTATGTAACGTGTGTGTTGTGTGTTTGTTTGGTTGAGAGAATAGTCTACGTAGTAATCAAACTCGTTTCAATGCGTGCACCGGGACGGTGCATGCTGTGGCAAGTCGAGAGAGGGAGTGGAGTCCACGGCAAAACAAAAAGATCCTACTACATATAGTACACTGAAATATTCGCGGTACAGCTGAACGTATGGCCTGGAGCCGCTTGCGGTAGCGAGCAATAATCGACGTACGCCCGAAGCGGGGGTGTAGAGCTGTATCATGTTCTTTATCGCAATGGGGGTCGATGTTGGGCGATAGGAGTGCCATAGTACCGACACCAGTTCAGTACGGAAATCGAATTCAATCATCCACCCATGCCGTTCTTGGTTTGGTGCGCACTCACGCGTGCGATGTACTGCGATAGGTGCGAAAACCGCAATGGGCGCGTTGACCAACTCGCATGATTACCTGTGGCGGTACGCAGAAAGATCGACTCGCACTCTAACTTGTATGATTTACTACCTTATTACCCTACAGCGGTGCATGTTGTACACGTCCTTGCATGTGCTTTAGACTCTCGTCATATCTACGGCAGCACAGTACGGTAGTCGACGAAACTTTCAGGACTGACGGTATTATTGGTGCGTTCATTTATAGAAGACTGACGTTTAACCACAACGCGCTCTATGGCGCGTCTGCAGCTTTGAGAACGCACATGGTGCAGGCAATTTCCCAGCCTCGCAATTTTGGTCACAAGTTGACAGATGATGATCCGTAGCATGTTTTCGGACGCAGCTTCGCGGAAATTCGCGAGGAGGATGATAGTGCCGACGAACTTAACACAGAAACCGGGCAACTCCCGTTTGAAACTCAGCCTACAAGGGGTGTGCCCGACCATAGATGCATAGCGCGCGGTGTTTGTCCAAACACAACGAACGCTCGTTACTAGCCTTGTCTATGTCAGCCTCGAGGACCAAAGCAGCGGCGGCCAGAGAACCAGCAGAGCTTCCGATGACGCTCTGCTCCGTGGGTCGCACGTTGTGCAGCCCGTGATCCAGCAAGCATTTGGCCACCCCAAAGGTGTAGAACATGAGCCACCCGCCCATTGCAAACGAGAAGTTGAAGGCCGGAAGTCGCTGGTTCTGTTTGGGGGCCGCTGGTGGTGCTGCAGTTTTGGTGCCTGTTGGTGTTGTTGTTGATGGTGTCGTTGGTGTTGCTCCTCCTCCTCCTCCTCCTCCTCCTCCTCTTCTTCCTGCCGACACCTCTGTGATGTCCACATCGACGATTTCGAACCAGTCATCATCACCGCTACCGCCATGATCGTCACCATGCTGGTGCGTGTTGTCGTCGGTGCTATCAACTCCGCCGCCAGCAGCTTCTGTAGAACTGGCGAGATTATTCGCAGGCCTCACCCTGGGATGGCACGAAGAAGAAATGTTAATGTTCCCGTCGTCTCCTCCGGCACCGGTCGACTGCTGTCGGCGTGTCGAGAACGCAGCTGAGGAACAACTCTCAGTCTTGGCTGCCAGGTCACAGCCATGAGCTACGGGAGATGAACCCCGACCCGTCATTGTGTGTCAGTACGTAGTAAAGGGGGAAAATACTGAGTTGGTCTTGCGCGCGAGAGAGCTCAGAATCACTCTCCCGGCTGAACACGTACGGCCGATTCGGGCAAACACAGCAACTAGACTGCAGCAGCAGTAGTGTACATAAGACTCTTACAATGCACCATCATCCATTTAAATTCGTTGTACATACCTCAGGCACACCTCAATAATTGACAAGTGGCAACCTACGTGCGCGCACGTTCGATGTCGCATGACCTCAATCGACGTTTCCTCGAAGTAAGCAAATGCCATATATATGGCGTTGTCGGTCGACCTCAGCGAAATCAATGCTGACACGGAGCTGGCTCTATTGTTCCGGGATTGGCGACGGTACACGTACGAATCGTACATTCGTGTAGCTCTTACGTCCGAGCCTTGCTTGTTCTTCCGATGCCCGCATAATAAACTTTGTGGACTAGAATTCACGTGTCTCGGTCTCTTTTCGAGAGGACAGAAGGTCGGTGCTGCATATTGCTGTCTTTGCATTGTTGGAGACCTCTGTTTTCCCTGAGAGCTCAAGAGGCCGCATGGATTCACCATTCACCACGCGCGGTATCGTCCCGACGTTCGTTCACTTCAAGACCACGGGAGCTACATAGGAAGTCATTAGGCTTGTGGACTTTTCATCAGCCCTTCCAGCGACAGAGTCCTAGGATGCATGGACAATCCATATGTGTCCATCCATTGGCTCAAGAACAGGTGCCAAGACCCTTCCAGGTCGCTGTTTGGGTTCCTCTCAAAAGAGGAAACAAGAAACGACCTTCAGGCACCACAGAGGTTTCCTTTTGCTGTACAATTGTATTGCTTCGTTCACCGACAACGCCGGCTTTCAAAGACCATCACTTCGTTGTCAGCTACACACTATCTACGATACGCCAGCCAACGATACGCACATGCTAACCCACCCGTGAGCTGCATACCCGCACAGATTTGCGGCAACAAAAGGCGACGACATACTGGCCACGGCATACAGACGTGACTGCCGCACCTCGCGCTGGGTTCGGTGCCCGCTGACAATCGTTACCCCCAAAAGTCCGGTTCACGGTGCGAGACTTGGGCACACGCCCAACAACGACACGTGTGTGTCCCTACACCGCACGCAAGGGACATGGCCGCTCCAAACGTTAACGTTACTCGAGACAACATCCACTAAAAAGACCACCAGGATGCCTGAACATCGCTACAGGGAATGTGTCCCCTTCACGCTCTCGCTTGGTAGTTTAATACCGTTCCCCCACCTCGAGAATAACAAGAAAACGACCCACATATTCGCGTAAATTGCGACCCTGTTTCTTCTCTACCACTACTGTATTTCTTTCCCTTTCCCTTTTTCTGCCATGACTACCAGTACAGAGCCCTGCTTCAATGAGCAGCAGCACCTCGAAGCGCGAGCTTCTGCTGCGCACGCTTCCACCAACCACACGGCTGCGCAACTGGCTACCTATCACCAGTGGCCTGTAGCTTCACAGCTACACAGCACGCCGCCGTCGCCCGACAACTTAAGCCTGGTCGCCGTCATCATCTTCACCACGGCCGTGACCACCCTCCTCGCCACCGCCTTCCTCCTCATCGTCGCCGCCGCCGCCGCCCTTGCCAGTGTCGGCTTTGTTCTTGTTATCCTCCTCTTCCTCGTCGCTGTACCTCCGGCGGTCTCTCGGGGAGGGGGACCGCTCGCGGCGGGGGGAGGGGCTGCGCGAGTCCCGTCCCCTGCTTCTGTCGCCTCCGCGGCTGTAGCTGCGGGACCGGCTCCGGGAGCGGGACCTCGACCGGCGGCGCTCGCGGCCCCTGGAGTAGCTCCTGTCCCGCCTGCGGGGAGGAGACCTGTGCGGTATTGCGGAGCCCCCAGTGTGGGCAAGGGAAAAAAAGTGAGTGGTTAGCGGGGAAACAGGCGTAGGGAACGAAGACAACAACACAGACGGGAGAGGATGGCGCAAACGCAGGGGGGAAGAAGTCGTTTCTCCAGCCCTCGAAAAAAAAGAGCGCCAATTTCGCCCCCCAACAACACTGAAAGCACAAGGAGATGTATTCGACCACCAGAGATTATTCGTGCTCAACAAGACTTTGCCGGGAGGAAAAACTGCATGCGGCTTGGGCGTCTCTCTCAAACTTGAATCAACATGTTCTCCGGCGGGGTGGGACGAGGGCGGGACGAGGGGTACCCATTTACCGGTGCCGCAGGTGAAAGGAACGAGCAAAGCACCCCACCATCCACACACCTCGAGTAAGACCTGGAGCGACGTCGGGGGGGGGACCTGGAGCGGCGGGCCGCGTAGCCGCTGTACCCGCGCGAGCGCGATCTGGAGCGCCCCCTGCCGTAGTCCCCGCGGCCCTCGACCCTTTCCTTGTGGACCATCTCGTCGGGCCTCTTGCGCTTCTCCTGTTGCAGGCGTGCAATTTCGTGGGGGCCATTAATTATTGCGGAAGTTAAGCAAAGGGGCCAGCCACAAGAAGCAAAATATTTGTTGCAAAAAGCACGAACAAGGGGGGCGTGCAGCAGTAGTGCTTTGCACGAGAGGAGTGGCAGGAGAGTTGTACAGAGAAAATACCGTAGTTCGGCACATCGAATCCACACACAGAAACCTGTTAAAAACCAAAGTTCACGGCTAAATTCGAGTTGGCGGGCGGAGATGGGGGGGGCACAATGTGCACGTCGCCGTCAATATGACGCCATCCAAGACGGTCAGGTGCGCATCAACACCACGAAGATGCTCAAGAACAAAATCCCAACTGGGCGGCATCGTCTGAGTCGCCGAGAAAACCTTGCCTTTGGTCCCCATCATCTTCATTTCCACAGATCGTGTGAAACTTCGATGAAGGCTATTCGACCGAGTACAGTACACACACGAATGAGAATCGATCGCATGGGTGTGGGTCTTTCCACCTATTTTCGCCAAAGGCCAAGCGTGACTACATACATAGGATCCAAAACGATGGGACCCTTTCCCTCCCAAATCGTCAACAGCTGGGTCGGGGGAGCATCTGTAGTTTGGGGTCCCAGGGGGTGCCAACACACAGGTAAGTGGAGCTCAACCATACATCAGTGGCAAAACGGCAAATAACTACCATTGCGCGAACCTGGGCATAGAGGACGGAGATGTTGCGACCGTCCAGGTTGTAGCCATCGAGGCGGTCTCTCGCGTGGGCGGCGTCTCCGGGGTCGTAGAACTGAAAAGGGATGGAGCAAGCACAAGCGGCACCGCATCAAGACACAATCGGGTTGATTGTCATCCTTATCTTCGCTTTTCTCTGGTTGCTCTCATCCCATTTTGTGGGAAAGGAAGCACAGAGGTAGAAAGCACTAGACCAACTTATACCGACAAGACGCGTGTGAGACATCGTGACACAAAAAGGAGAAGAAATAAACGGGCGGTCCGTGTATCTTCGTTGGGCGTGATATCCTTGGCTTCTCATTCAATGTGGACTACTAGGGCAGAAATGTGCAGACTAGAGTCCAGATGCAGCAGGCACATTTCCCCCCAAAGCGGTGTGGATTAATACAACAGACGTGACCCATCGGCTCGAGCCTCTCGCACGGTCCGCCTGGAATACCGGTGTTTAATCAGAGAGACGCAGAGAGCGGTCGCCATATCCCATCAGACCCTTGTGAAAGCAACAACGCAAACTAACAACTGCTGTGTACCTACGCTGCCGCTTGTGTTACACGAACGGCAACAGCTACCGCCGACACGACATCTGTACGACCGAAAAAAAACAACAAAAAACGGCGTTTCCCTTGCTGGCTGTGCGTCCTCTTCTCACCTCCACGAAAGCGAAGCCGCGAGGCTTCCTGTTCGCCCAGATGACCACGGCCAAAGGAAGCACCGAGCAGTGTCACGTTTGGTCCAGTCACGTCGCAGTCACAGAGTAAGCCGAAGGCGTTGCGGGGGGCGGACGATGGCAAGGGTGCACAACAAAGGGGGCAGAAGCAGTGAGGGCCAAAGCACAGCAGGCGAGAACAAAGGCTGTGGAGGGTACAAGCTTTTCGGCCGCCGAAATGAAACATCTCGTACCAAGAAACAAACTGCCCCCGACAAAGAGGTAACGACATGGGGTGTTCGGGATATTGAAATCGACACGCGCTCAAGGATTTGCGATACTCAAAAACAGGCGCAACATTAAGACTCATCGCTCACTCTTATCCCTCTCAACAAATGCAAAACCTCGGCATACGCAAACGGAATTCAAATCCTACCAATACCATATACAGCCTCTGGCACACGACCGAATCACCGTTCCGCCTTGATGCTCCTCTGCGCCGGCAGCAACAGAGGGGGGGGGACGGGGATTCTTCTTTCTCTGTCGGATCTTGGATATACTCTCTGTCGCAAGCTTCTCTTGATTGGCTTCACTGGACCTTGTGCCTGCACCCCCCTTCTCATTCCCGCGACTTCATAGAGAAACCCACGTAACCCCGCTGACGCGTTTCGGACAAGCTCGAGGCGACCAAGGGGCCTGTGTGCCGAACCCCCCTCTTTTTCTTCTCCCGTTCCTCTTCTCTTCCCTTCCCTTCCCTTCTTCCCTCCCCCGTCCTCTTGTTCCCTGGCTCGGGCTTGGAAACTTGGAATTGCCTCTCTTGGGATTCACATCCACGGCTCTTTGTCTTGAGATCCACCCCCGCTCCCACTCTCACCCCCTCTCAACAAAGTTGTTGGCCCAGCAGGGACGTCTTGGGGGTTGAAAAACGCCAACACTAATCGAGACAGACGCTTGACTTGGGGGCTTGGCTTGAATCGGCTCGGCTTCGGGGGGACAACACGGGTGGTTTCTTGGATTCTCTAGTACTCGGGGCCGGGGGGGGGGGGCTTCTTGACTTGACTTGACTTGGGCACTTGGTTCGTTTGACCTTCTTATCGCCTCCCACCACACGAAAGAGTTGCCCTTCTTCCCCGTGAGAGCGTCGAAGAGACGGCAACACACAAGAAGAAAAAAAAAGAGGAAGGAAGAGACAGTCAAAATCGTGCGTGTGTGCAGCAGGTTGTCCCTTCAACTATAACGAAAGGACTAGATACTGAACACAGCTTCCTCTGTCTTACAAAGGAGGTCAAGAATACACACACCCAGTAGGAGCCACAATTGGGCCGGCGCTGGTGTGAGTGGAGCCCTTGATATACGATGCACATGCTCGCCCACCAGGTCACGCATTGTAATGCCTTGTTGTCGTGGGTTGATCTCATCCATCATTGCGACAAGATCGAAGCAAATTTGCAGCTCTCCTTCTTGACAGAGAGTGGATCCAAGCGACACGAACCACATCTACAACATCTATCTCGTTGACACGGACGCGTGCTGTGGACACAGGTTATTATTTAGTGTATACACATAGGGGTGCCAAAAAAATAAAATAAAAATCGTGTGTGTGCATCTCTCTTTTGGCACCGACTGCGCTACGTCTGTGCAGCATACGAGGGAGTCGAAAAATAGCAGTGAGTGTTCCATGGCCAAGAATGTTACTTGACTGACGTGTACGGCAAAAGACGGAGGAGATGCATCCCGCGTCGGCGCGTTGGTGCCGAATCATATCCACGAACACGCTGATTGATTGCACAAGATGCATGCATGAGTACAGCAGCAGTAAACGTCCAAACCAGTACAAATACGTGTATGTTCATGCCGGTTTCGTTTGTCACACAAACGCCAAACAAAACAAAACATAACGAGACTATACTTGTAGTCCGATTTGAGTCTCCCTCCCGTGCAGACCAATATGTATCATGGGTACCTTTGGTTGGAACTTCATCAGGCGCACACAGACGAGCTCGGGCTGACCTGTGATAGCCGACCGGCACGCCCTCAACAAGTCCACACGACGACGCCAAAACACAGACTAACTGACGCGAGAACGCAAAAAAATAGAATCCCTATTAAATTATACCATACTTTTTGAAGGGGTGATGAGACGAAAAAAGACGCCGACTGTTGTATGTTATCGGGTTCATCGAAGCGGCAGAGGCGCGGGCGTTTCGCGAACATATCCGCGGTCCCTGTCTCGCAAGGCGGCCCAAGGAGGAGGGCGGCCCCCCCGCCGACTGCAATTTCTTTCTTCTCTCTCTCTACCCTGTACCTATTCACAAAAGCGACGGAAATGGGATGTATAATGTATAATAGATGCTTCCCAGAAAATGAAAAAAAGCAGTGCAAAAAATGCGAGGGAAAAAGCTACTTTCGCAGGAGAGAGTAGAGAGAGAGCTTCGCTCGCTATCGCTTGGTGCCACCGAGCAAGGGCGCTATGGACTGGACTCACTGTGTGCCGAAGTCGAGGGGAAGGTAGACGTCGCGCACGTCCCCGAAGTCGGTGAAGATACGCTTCACGTCGTCCACTCGAGTGCGGAAGGTCAGGTTGCGGACGAGCAGGGAGACCTTTCCCGGCCCGGAGTCTCTCCCGCGGTCGCCGCCGCGGTCACGGCCGCGGCTGTCGTCCCTGCCGTACCCGCCTCTCCCCCTGTCGCGGCTCATGGTGTACGCTTAGCGAGTGTGGATCACAGGGTTGTTGGTTGCCTTTTGCGCGTTTGCTTTGGCTCCAGGTCGGTTTTTTGGGTTTGGGGCGTCCACCACAACCAGCGTTGAGCTTGAGGCCCCGCAGAGTAAATTGAGGAGTATCCCAATGATATACGGGGCTCTATGAGGCAAATGTGCCGCCTCGAGGTGCTACGTACAGCGCCGTGTTGCCGTGATTCACCCACGCAACAAGTAAAGAAGCACGGAGACCAACTTAGCTGCGTTCGTCAAGAAGCTGCTAAGAGAGATAAACATTTGCTGACCCTCGCTCTCTTCTGTTGATTTTGTGCGAGCTTGCTTTTTGGGGACGGCGCGTTTCTCGCGGCTCTCTCTCTCTCCCTTTCTCACTCGGCTCCGAGAGCGGCACCACATCATACATGCCACTCACCATGAGGAGGGGGAGTAGCTTCGTGAGAGGGATCGCGGTGGCGGCTGTAGCAGCGACCTCGCTCCAGAATTCGCGGGCGGGGGCCTTTGCGCCCCCTGCGTTCGTCCCGGCGGGCCCAGCGTACTGCCGCTCATGCTCGTCGTCGTCGACGTCCGCACTGGCTCGTACAGCAGCAGCGAGCAGCAGCTGCAGCAGCGCGCAACAGCAGGCGCGGGGGTGGGGAGCGGCGCCGCGGCGGACCGGGGCTGCTGAGCCTCGCCGCATGTCGTCGACGGACATCGAATCTCCGTTCGCCACGCCCGGCATGGCGGACATGGGAGATGAGGAGGAGGACCCGGAGGCCTTGCTGACGCTCACCCTCGAGAACGTCGAGACCGTGCTGGACGAGATGCGACCGTACCTCATGTCGGATGGGTGAGACGTATGCACATGTGTGTAGGAGAGGGAATGGACGGGAGCTGCGATGTTCGCAGATGAAGACGCAACTTGCAAGCGCATGTTCCACGTGTGTTTGTGTTGTTGCACCCTGCTGGGACTACATGAGCCCGGTGCGTTGCTACTGCTGGCTGTTAGAGCGACTGCTGCTGTTGCGGGGCTTTTTTTGTGTGCTGTGAGCATGAGAATTGTCCCCTTCACGCCCTCGTCCTCTTCTAACAATAAACGAATGAGGTTTTGACGGTAGCAAACACACACAGAGGATGTATCGCGAAGCCAGCTTGTGTGCTTCAGCAGCAGGGAAAAACACAAGGCAAAGTTGCAATGTTAATATTGCACCGGGGACAGCGCTTTGTGAAACGCCTCTCTTGTTGGATCTACGCAGAGGAGGGCTGCCCGCTCTCCACGTGGTTGTCCTTTTCCTTTGTCTGCCCCTCACTGCCCATCACGTAGGCTACAAGTCAAGGATGAAATCAACGTAGACGAAGGCCAGATGACATCTTGCGTGTGTGTCGCACATCTCTGCCGTCTCTCTGTCTCTGGATCTGCTCAGAAATACGCGGCGCGATTGGCATACTTAGACTTGGTCAACAGTCCGGCGTTGAAACGAAACACACAAAATTTGCCAGGCGGGCGCGCCCCTTGCGAAATATCCCAAACAAGTACTAACGGTCCTACAGAGACGCCTACATTTCACACTGATAAGGATGTCGCTGACAGCTTGAAAACCTGCTTGCTTGTCTGTAGCTTACGCGCAGTGTTATGAAACATACTATACCACAGTTTTTTTCCCGTCGACCACAGGGCATTCTCTCTCTGGTGAGAGTTTGTGACGGCTGAGGATGGTGCAGGTGATTGAGTTGGCATTCTGTCGTGATCGCTCCACATGGCTTGCCGATGTCGGCAATTTGCGCCGATGGGATCCTGCGGCGATCGATGTATCAGTTTCCTGTTGCTTGTTCCGTCTCAATTCGAACCGCTTTGATGGCGTCGATTCTTGTAACTTGTGGTTGCGTGTTGCGTGTTTCTCGTTTCGACGGGAGTTGTGGCGAAAGCGCAACGGGTTCGTTGTGTGCAGATATATTACGTCGTTGCGTCCTCAACACTGAAAAGTTAAAAAAGACCCAAACCAATGCACACCCAACCACGCAACAACTTGTACAGGATAGAATTCCACATTTTGATTGCTAGAATCGCGTATATGGAGCCTTTGATGGTGAACACATGTCGTCGAAACCCCATACCGCTTTACTGCGGCAACCTACATGCGCCTTCCTCAGCGTCCGGCGCCGGTTTGGGGTGAAGACTGGCAGGGCGTGACTAAAATTGACGCCTTTCTTCTTTCCTCCATCAATCATAGACCTACCCAGCGCCGTCTGTGGCGTGCAATGACGCAAGATTCCACCTCTGGCCTTGCGACTTGTGGCTGGTACACTCTTATCCCCCCCCCCACTCTTATCCCCCCCCCTCCCGCCGACAATAGTATGGGAGGCGAAGCGGACAAACAAAAAGAGGGGTAGACACCCCACGGAATGGGTCAAGGTTGTAGAGGACGTATGGAAGGGGTTAGACATCGACGAAGATGAAACGCTGGAAACGGAGGGTCTACAGGGGTTCAAGGAGAAGATATCTGTTGCTTGTGCCGAGAGAGAAGAACAGAATCTAAGGAAAGAAACCGAGGATAACGAGGGTCTAGAAGTGTACAGAATGTTGAAAGAAGGAATAGGGTACAAGGATTACCTACATGGACCAATGGATGCAGGGACCAAAGCTTAAGGTCAAATTCAGGACCGGGGACATATGCCTTCGAGAACGTCGACGAAGACATAGGACGGTAGACGACGAAGACGACAAGTTCAAATATGATTGCGGCTTCGAATGCGAAGACCGTGTTCATGTTGTCGCGGAATGTCCGTGGTACGAAGAGGAGAGGGAAGTGTACATGACTGAGCTGGGAAAAATGGAAGGGAGGTACAGGGAGATGTTTGAGGCATGGAATAGAGAGGAGAGGACGGTAGCTGTACTGGGGAGTAGGAAGTGTTTTGAAAAGGCGGGAAGGGATATCGTTAGGATAGACAGACTAGGGAAGACGTTTTTGAGCCACCTTTGGCAAAGTAGGAAGGAACGATTGGCCATCGGTGATCGGTCCTGTGGGAACAATGCTCCGTCCTCTCGAGGACGCGTGGTCAATGGTCTAACCGCTAAGGCATGCAAAACATAAGAGTACGCCCCCCCCCCCCCCCCCTCCCGCCAACCCAGACACGGTTATCGCACGCTGCGCCAAAACTTAGCATATACCTGAACTATGTGAGTCTTTTTTGTGGGTCGATGACAACCAAGAACATCACCCCCCCTCCCCCTCTCTCCTGGTGCTTTTTTTTCCAGCGGGAACGTGCGGGTGGTGGAGATAGACGGTCCGGTGGTGCGGCTGGAGCTGGAGGGCGCCTGCGGCAGCTGCCCTTCCAGCACGATGACGATGAAGATGGGTCTGGAGAGGCGATTAGTGCAACGGATCCCGGAGATCAGCGAGGTCGTACAGTCCATCCCCAACGGCCCGGAGCTGACGGTGAGATAACAGAGCTGCGAGCGAGGGATGTGTGCTGGTGGTTGTCGGGTGGTGTAGGAAGGTAGAGGGCGCGAGCGTCTTTTTTTCTTTTTTTATGTCATACATGTCCGCTCGGAGCAGAACTGAATAATTGTGCGCCCATCGTCGTGTTTCATGCAGTATGGAAGAATTCAGCTCAGTACTTCCCGGCCTGTTCGGTACCGGGTGGATGCGACGTCCTAGAGGGAGATAGCATCGACCTGTGTTGCCCTTGGAGATGTTTGGATGTGCTGCTCCAAAGCCGGGGTTATTTCTTCCTGCCACTATGTTTTCCCGCCTCACAACCTCGGAAAAACATCTAGGAGATTATGGGTTTGAAATTAGGCGCAACCGGTTCCTCATTGGGGATGACGTGAGTGCTCCGAAATCTTCAGGTCTAGGGTCCGACGTGGTCCATGCCCTTGTTGTTGCCTCGGACGCAAGGCAGGTGTTCCAAACTTTGGTTTCGACGCGTAGAGAGAAGAACGAATGCTCATTCCGGTTCGTTTGTTTCCTTTATTTTTTATTTTCATGTACACGACTTGTTACTTTGTGCGTACTGTAGGGTACGGGGAAGTTGGTTTCCACACCTCACCCTCCCCCTGTTGTGCTTGTCTTCGGACCCTAAATTCAAACGGAGGTTTTCAGCAAGCCAAGAGAGACGGCGGTGTGCGAGAGGGCTCAGTGTGGCTCTCGGTGCCACGTTGTCTTGACACCCGTCTCCTCCAACCCGTACGTTTGGTTGGCACCACAAACTTTATTACAAGCGCCTCGTTTCGCGGCCTGTTGCTGTACTTTTCTTTCTGCCAAGCCAAGCACGCGAACAAACGACATGTTGTGTGCTTGGTGGCTTGAGTAACGCTGGGTACACGTTCCGCTTCTTCAACGCTAACTCTCGTCGCCCCCTCTCTTCTGCTTCTCCATCACGAAAAAAATGTGTTTTTTATGCAATTGCATGCAGGTTGAGAACGTCGAGAAGGTGCTGGACGGGGTACGGCCATTCCTGAGCGTGGCGGGGGGAAGCATCAACATTCAATCGCTTACCGGGGTGTCTTCGATTCAGGTAACTCTTTTCTCGGTGAACATTAGGAGACACGCACCATTTATTGATATGAGTGCATCGACACTTGCTTGGCCATTCTGCCGCATGCTTCGCCGCCAACATCGACGTGGACATGAACTTGGTCCGCCGAATAACAAGATCAAGTTAGCAACATGAAGCACGTTGTCATGGTCTTCGTTGCCGAAACGCGGCGTATTATCACCCAACTGTTGACAGGGCACGGGACCGAAACCATTTTTTTCCAATTTTTCGAAAGGGGGCCAGTCACTCGAGCTTTGGGTGTTGACTGGCACACATGTGACTACAACATGCGATAGCTGGCGACTACAAACGAGAGGGCAACCCGCTCCAACGGACCGTGACACAAATGCTAGCTTGGTTTTGGTAGTGTGTGTATTGTAGACTGAAGTCCACGCCCTCCAGCCCGATCCATTAGGCCGGTGGGCACAGGTATGGGCCATGGCACTGCCTCAGAGGGCGCCTCTGATCCACCACAGACACAGTTCGAAAAGGAGGACCAAAATGTAGAGCTCGTCGGGTCCCAAACATGACATGGACAATTGCCTCACTTAGGCCCAAAGCAGTAATGTGTTCGGTGACCTACCAACAACGCAGCTCGTGTTGTTCGATTTTTTAGCGTTCTCTTTGTTTACACCTCAGTCTCCCTCACCTTCCCGATCGCGCCGAACACCTACCCGTGCGTTGTTAGTTTTTTCTGGGCCGTCTGTGATGACCTCCCCCCCACCTTGTTGTCGGCACCGCCTTGTCTTCTGTTGCAGCCGGTGATAACGCTGAAGATGACGGGGTCAAGCGCAAGCCTGAAGTCGATCAGGATGGAGATCATGCAGCGCATCCAGCGCGAGTTCATGATGTCTTCCTTGAGAGTAGAGTTCGCTCCATGATGTCTCTCTGACCAGGAGCATCTTTCTATGTTTTGCTGATCTCGCTCGGCATGATTTGGGCGTGTTCGGCGGCATTCCTGTGGGAAGGAAGGTGGTTTGTTTGCCCACTTGGTCGTAGCCTTGTTTGTTTCTGATCTGCGTGTGCCATGTGCGGAGGACTGCCTGCCTGTTCTGCTTTTGGTTATCGTTCGTTTCGTTGTTCTTGTTGAAAAGAAACAGGAGATCGAGACTTGAGTAGCATCTTTTTGTCTGAGGTGTGGATCACCCGGCTGCTGCAGTCATTTAGTTACTCAAAAGGGACCGACGGCAAATCCTGGCCAACGGGATGTTTTTTTTACCTACAAGTATAGAAGGTTATTTTGTACACCAAGTACTGTCGAAGCGCACGACCTTGTTGCCCTAGTCAGGTCTACTCTTTTGGGGAGGGAGGGGTTCGAGGCACGGTCGTGAACGCGCATACGGTTTCTGGTTGAGCGAGTGTGATGAAGCGGGCGTTACTATATTTTGGACCTCAGGTGTCCCCTCTTCATAGAGAGGCCATCAACAAGTACCTGGTCCCCGCCACACCTCGTGCGACTTCTCGTAAAAACCCCGCCCTCCAGCCCCATCTCTTGCGTTGTAATCCTCGTTGCTGGTTGTTGATATTTTCGTTTTGCGGTTCATGGGTACTGTAACCTTGGGCGCTTTCAGGTCCCAACGCGCCGGTAGTGCAAGCTTGAAGGGGTTTGGGAGAGTCGAATCAAGCATATCTTGTCGATGCAGGTGGAGTCGCGTTTTTTGTGGTCCTTGCGCAGACGTTTTAGTTTTGGTCTCCTGGTCGATGAAGGACAGCGAGAGCGGTAGGGCGGGGTGGATCGCTCAACTGACGGGTCATCCGCTCGCCGAAAACCACACGACACTTGAAGCATGAGACGATTTGAGTCCAACTTTTGATGTACGATGTACGTAACGCTCCGTCGAGCGTGGCCCAGTTTTGGCCGCGCCAACGTGGGTGGTACCATACGGTGGGTGGGTTCGTCTACTTCCTACCGGAGCCGGGCGAATCTATGTAGCATGCGCGGGCTTTATGCTGTCTTGGATGACGGTATCCTGGCCCTACGGACGAAGCTTCACGTGGAGATGATGCGTACATAAGCGGGGGTTTGTCTCTCAACGAACTCTACCGAGCCCATGTTCCTGCGTGAAATATCGAGAATCCCTCCGTTCACAACTTGAGATATTGGATCCGTTGGCGAGTGGGCGCGGGACCACAAAACCCTTTAATTTCTTTGCCTTCGTGTCCAGTTGAGACTTTTGACTATTCATGCTCAGCCAGCCAGCGCTGTCGGCACTCGTTCTCTCTCTAGGCTCCACTAAGTACGAGAAAACCCGTCGCAGGGAGCCGAAACTCCCTCCGGGCGGTCTTATTTTTTCAACCCATGTTTGGGGCACGGAAACACTGAAGAGTACCTAAGCTTGCTTGTGACCGTGCGAACTGTCGTCGTTTCGTTAACTTCGACAATGAAGACGAGATTGGTTCTGGCAGGAAGTCTAACGGACTTCCAGAGTCCAATCAGCAACGAGCCGCAGACAAGCACCAGCGCGTGCACTCTCGTTTCTGGCCGAAACATGCCGCCGGAGTAAACATAAAAACCGAAACGCTCGATTTTTTTATATGCCCGCCTGATTTCGGGCCTCGGCAGACGCGCATCAAACACATCGCACCCCGACAACACAGAAAGAAGGAGCCCTTGAATTAAATCACATAAAAGATGTAGAGAGAATGACAAGTAGCACGGCCCTTCCGCGGGGACGATTTTTCTTCGCCACCAGCTTACCGTGAATGAAGCGCTTTCGATCGGGATACAGCATGACGACGGGCAGGTCGTCGTCGTTGGTTGTTTTCGGCTCAATGAAATCCAACAACCGGCGTCTCCTTCGCGAAGTCTTGCAGCGCCACCCACTACACTAATCCTGAGGTCGTCTACAATGAAGAGATGTTCGCCGCGTACGGCAGGCAGCGATAGGTGAGTGATTCGTCCAATGGAGAGCTGCCCATCGCCTAGCTAGTTCTCCGGCCGAGATTCCCCCGAATTTTGGTGTTGTGTTGTAGTATGTAGTCTTGTTGGTGGGTTGTTCAGCGCCCGCCGCACATGGGCTGGAGACAGACGCAGTGTAGTCAGTTTGGCGAAGCAAGACCTTTCCCTGGATCATCCACATAGATCGATCGTCTTCGTATGTATCCAGTTGTCTGAATATTTCGCGAGGGGTTGGAGATCCCAACAATACGAGATTCTCTTCCCCGGGGTCACTGATCGTCGCCTGATTTATTTCCAAATGTTTCTGTGAACTATAATAATAGTAGTCGATCGACCATCTGCTGAGAGGTTCACCGGGCAGGATTTGTTGGGGCTAGTGTACAACTCCGCCGGTGTTGGTTCTTCAATAGCTCGCGGGCGTATCATATCACAGCACGTCTGAAGACCCGAGACACGCAGCGCTCTCGTCACCAACGCGGACACGAACAAGCCAGGCGACGTCATTCTGTCGTTCAAAAAGTTCGGCATATGTTGGTCGTTTTTCACTCCCGAACCATACTGTACTGTAAATAACTGAATAGATTGGCGACCGCGTACAGCAGTGGTAGTACATGTAAAAAACATTTGTTTGCATGTAGTAATAATAATGTGTGTGATCTCAGACAGTGACGACACGTTTTTTTGAAGAGGCTACAGTACACAGTAGGGCTGAAGTAAATTACGCTTTACACATGATTTGGATCAACGTGTAAAACACTAAATAAATAGTACTTATTTCACCCACATGCGAAGGAAGTCGGAGGGTCCCATAATCTTAGGGGGAGCAGCGGGTGTAGGGGGGGGGGGGGGGGGCGGGAGCCGCGGGGCCCTCAAAAATCAATTATAAAACGGGACATGGTCATTTTCGCACCTACCTTTCTCCCAACCAGCAAGCTTCATCCCAGGCAGTCCATGCATCACCGCGCCTGCCGTGCCGCACGGAGCCCAGGCACCTCTCACAGCTCCTGGGCCTGCCACTCACGTCGCGCTTCGATGGCCGAGCGTACATACATGTTGGTTGATCCAGCCAAGGGCCCCACGTTCTCTCCGCATCCTCTCTCTGAAAATCTCTGATGTGGACCGATAAAGTCCTCGGCCGAGCGACCCCAAGATCGAGCAGCGCCCAAGATCCAGCCATCGCAGCTCAACACAATCGTGCTCGCGGGTGTGCGAGAGCCCGATCCTACCCGCGGGTGAGGAGGGGATGCTTGCCTCGGCAGAGCTGTTACTTTCAAGGGATGAAGCTGTCGGCCGGTTGCCAGCTGGTCCAGCAGGTGAGAAAAAGATACGGGGGCAGTCATGTACCGCAGCCTCCCATGCTCTCCTCTCTCCCAGCCTTCACCCTCTCGTTCCGGCCGTTTGGGCATGGCTCCAGTTGTAGCTAAACAGCTCGCAACCTTCGGTTAGCGAGCCGGCCACGGTATGGTGTGTCGGACGGTTTGTTTGTGGATATTTCGCAGCGGGGGGGAGAGCCTTTCCACCGCATAAGCTGTTTTCTATCCCCTCTGTTGATAGGTTTTTGCACGGTGAGAGGCTCGTCCGCTCAGGATCTCAAACCATGATCGGACAGAAGCAGCGATGCTGCATGTTTTGTTCAACCATCTCTCGAACCACGTTCTGCGACTGGCTTTCTCTCCTATCTCGCGCGTAGCTCAGTCCTTGGCCACTCTGCTCTATCGTTGGGCCTTGCATTCGGTTGTGAGAACACTACAGTTGTGAATGCTGCATCGAAAGGCCCGCCAAAAGCAGATGCTGGCTGAAGAAACACACCATACAGCAGTAGCACTTGCTGCCCCTGTGGCGAGCGGACCGTCCACGCTCTCCTATCCTTGTACATTGTAGGCCTTCTGCCCGTCGAGCCAGTGCATTCGCGGTAAAGCGACAGACGGCTGTGCCCCTTGTGTGTGCTACTGGCCTTGTCCTGCTGTTAGAGTCGTTGTAGAGCGGTGGTGGTGGGTAGTTTTTGTAGGCGTGCCCCTGTCAAGATTCCACCGCTTTCGTGCCTGTTGTTCGCAACCATTGTTTTGTTGACCAAGTGTTGACCCTCCTTTTTTTTTGTTCATCAGTGTGGTTCCGCTCGTTCCATTTGTTGACAAGAGAGTGCAATGAGATTGATTGAGAGAGTGTCGCACCTCCACTTCCACTACTGCTGAGGGTTACTCCAGAGGTTTGACTCGCTACCCCGCTTCTCTCTTTTCTTCGGCCTCGCACGATCCAAGCAAATCACTCCAAGCCCTGCGGACTTAGTCGACCTACCGCCGTGCACATCATCAGCAACAACGACCGGACAGCCGGTTCCCTCGCCCTCTCTGGTTCGCCTTTCTTCGGTAAGCGTCCAGCCGGGTCCCTTAGAAGCTACTGCTGTAGGTCACGCACGTTTAGTGTCTATGAGTTCCGTAGCCACTCTCAGCCGAGACAAGGGTGTAGACTGCATGTACAGCGGGAAAGGTTCGATCAAGGATAGAGGAGGCGAAAGAGCAGGATCCCCGAGTAGCCCAGATCGCGCGGGCTGATCGGATGATTTGTGTGTTTTGTCTCTCCGCCCGCAGCAACTTCTTCTGTGCACACTGGTTGCGCTAGAGCGCAGAGGCCAGGCACATTGGCTAGGATGCCTGCAAATGAATTGCATACCCATCTCGTTTCAAGGCGATCGCGCAACGGGACTCAAATCGAACTGCTGTGGTGTGTGGTGTGGCGGCAAATACTTTCAAAACTTCAAAAGTTTATTCCGCCGCGTTTGTCTGCCGTGGGTGGGTGTCGTGTGTTGTGTGCTGTGTGTTTCCTGATCGTAGTCACCTTCCAAGACAAGGCCGGGGTGCTGCACCACCAGCAGTGGTGGCCTCTCGAGATGCTGTTCCTTGCCCGTGAGGTAGGAAGAGGGGCTCTGGCAACATGTCAAGCGCTTTTGCAAGCGCACCTAATATATTTGTAGAAGACGTACAGGTAGGATGAAAGGGGGGTCGTGCGAAGGATGGAAATCTACGCAATCTCCGTTGTTTGGCCGGATGATCATGATCTTTCTCACGAGTCCACCAAGCAAGGTTCGACCACAACTACAGCAGTAGAAGCATCGAAGTACCAATGTACCTGCGACCGTAGACTATGAAGGTCGTCAGACAACCATGTCAGACAACCAGTTCCTCTGCTCCTTGACCAGTGCACTCTACAAAGTGACACACATCCATTTTGTGCCAGCAGCAGCAGCCGCCGCCGCAGCAGCAGCAGCAGCAAGTGCGAGTCGGTTGGTCCCCTTATTACAACAAAGTTTGAGCATGCAATATGGACCTAGAGCCTTACTACGGCTGTACCAAGCTGTATACACAACGGATGCATGGTAAAAAAATCTGTAGGCTAGGTACACTTTTGAAACTTGAGAAAAGAGGAGACATTAACTCCGTCTCACCAAAACCAAGCGGGTGCACATTATTAGTCCTCCCGTCTCGCCTCGTCGCCTCTCCCCAGTCATTCTTGGAAGTTCAATCTTCGCAGGTATCTAGACTATTCTCGCTTCCCAACACTGACCAAAATATATTGTCAGCTGGCATTTCAGTGGGTCGTTGACTGTTTTGAGATATTATGTAAGTAGAAGAAGGACGGACACGTGTGTGTGTGTACATGAAACAAGTTTGTTTGCGGTGAATACACGATTGATTGTGCACCGAACAAAGTCACAACATACCAACGTGTGATAACCATACCTAAAATGTGATGTGTGCATGTCTTTTTCCTTGCAGGGCGTCCTTGTTGAATCCCTCCGGAAGGGCTACTGGATCATCTTGGATGAGCTCAACCTGGCTCCTTCCGAGGTAAGTATTATACGTAGTTGTTTTACCCTGTAATGGCAAACATTGACAATACCGTTGACGCTGAAAAAAGTCGAAGTTTGTTTGCTTGGAAGAATACTGTAGACTATGTATGTATCCAGAGAAAAGAAAAAACGCATAGATAGTCTATCGGTCAAGTTATGTGCGCCGGCCAACACCTTGTCGTACAAAACCCACCACGTGCTCACTCATTGTTCGCTGCATAAATATATACTTGTACAGTCTACAATAGTCTATCCCTAGAAGAAATGTGTTTTCTCAACGATCGGGAGCGAGCGGCTGTCAGACCTCTCGATCTGCCGGGCGAGCTTAGGCGAATCGAAACAGGAGCACACAGGTAGCTAGGTGAGACGTGTATGACAAGAGCGACTTGGTGGATGGATGGTATGCGATGGAAAGGATAGCTGGATAAATGGAAAGTAACGACGGAAAATATGACGGAGGTATGGATAAGAAGAGTGGCCAGCTGGATGGAAGGCTGGGAATGCAACGACGGAATAGATGGCGGAGGTATGGATTGAGCGGTCGGCTGAACGGATGGAATGTGATGGGAAGGATGCCTGGATGAGTGGAATGCAACGAACGGCGGAATGGATTGAATGCGATTGAACGGATGCCCGGATGGGTGGAATGCAACGACGGAAATGGATGGCGGAGGCATGGCGCAGCAACTGCGCCTGGGAAAGCGGTAAGAGCGACAGCGACTGCGACCGCGAAGATCGTCAGGGAAAGCGACAGCGACAGCGACTGCGACACTGTGAAAGCGGGTAGCGACAGCGACTGCGACTGCGAAGATCATCAGGGAAAGCCACAGCGACTGCGACTGCGATACCGCGAAAGCGGGTAGCGACAGCGACTGCGACTGCGAAAGAAAGTCATCAGGGAAAGCGACAGCGACTGCGACTGCGACACTGCGAAAGCGGGTAGCGACAGCGACTGCGACTGCGAAAGAAAGTCATCAGGGAAAGCGACTGCGACTGCGACTGCGACACCGCGAAAGCGGGAAGCGACAGCGACAGCGACAGCGACTGCGAAGATCATCAGGGAAAGCGACAGCGACAGCGACTGCGACACTGCAAAAGCGGGTAGCGACGGCGACTGCGACTGCGACACTGCAAAAGCGGGAAGCGACAGCGACAGCGACCGCGAAAATTATCAGGGAAAGCGACAGCGATAGCGACTGCGAAGATCATGAGGGAAAGCGACAGCGACTGCGACCGCGAAAATTATCAGGGAAAGCGACAGCGACCGCGACTGCGAAGATCATTAGGGAAAGCGACAGCGACTGCGACTGCGATACCGCGAAAGCAGGTAGCGACAGCGACAGCGACTGCGACACCGCGAAAGCGGGTAGCGACAGCGACTGCGACTGCGAAGATCATGAGGGAAAGCGACAGTGACTGCGACTGCGACACTGCGAAAGCGGGTAGCGACAGCGACTGCGACTGCGAAGATCATGAGGGAAAGCGACAGTGACTGCGACTGCGACACTGCGAAAGCGGGAAGCGACAGCGACAGCGACTGCAAAATAAAGTCATCAGGGAAAGCGACAGCGACTGCGAAAGAAAGTCATCAGGGAAAACGACAGCGACAGCGACAGCGACAGCGACACCGCGAAAGCGGGTAGCGACAGCGACTGCGACTGCGACCGCGAAAGTCATCAGGGAAGGCGACAGCGACTGCAACTGCGACACCGCGGAAGCGGGAAGCGACAGCGACTGCGACTGTGACACTGCGAAAGCGGGAAGCGATAGCGACTGCGACAGCGAAAATAATCAGGGAAAGCGAAAGCGACAGCGACTGCGACTGCGACACTGCGAAAGCGGGTAGCGACAGCGACTGCAACCGCGAAGATCATCAGGGAAAGCGACAGCGACTGCGACCGCGACACTGCGAAAGCGGGAAGCGACAGCGACTGTGACCGCGAAAAACCATCAGGGAAAGTGACAGCGACAGCGACCGCGACACTGTGAAAGCGGGTAGCGACAGCGACTGCGACTGCGAACATCATCAGGGAAAGCGGCAGCGACTGCGAAAGAAAGTCATCAGGGAAAGCGACAGCGACTGCGACTGCGACACCGCGAAAGCGGGAAGCGACAGCGACAGCGACTGCGAAAGAAAGTCATCAGGGAAAGCGACAGCGACAGCGACAGCGACACTGCGAAAGCGGAAAGCGATAGCGACAGCGAAAGTCATCAGGGAAAGCGACAGCGACAGCGCCTGCGAAAGCGGAAAAGTGCGGGCCGGTTCTGTTCAACAAAGGATGGATGGATGGTGGAATGCGATGGAAATGGTCGGATGGCTGGAATGCAAGGGCGGAATGGATGGCGGAGGTATGGATTGAGCGGCCGGCTGAATGGAAGAAATGTAATGGGAAGCATGCCTTGATGGCTGGAATGCAACAACAGCGGCGATTGAACGGATGGCCGGATGGATGGAATGCAACGACGGAAACGGATGGCGGAGGTATGGCCAGGCGGTCAGCTGGAATGATGGAATGCCATGGAAAGGATGGCTAGGTGAAAGGAGTGCAAGGATGGGATGGGTGACGGAAGTAAGGGCAGAGGTGGTCAGCTGGATCGATACTATGCAACGGATATGATGATTGGATGGCTGGAATGCAACGAGGAAACCGAAGGTGGACAGCATCGTTGGCGAGCGGGCGACGGATTTGTGAATAGAGCCGTTGCTGGAAGGATACGAATCATCGACGGAATGGAGGACGGAGGAAGCCGGGAATGACTAGGGTATACGGCAAGATTTGGCATGGTGGGGTTCGAAGGAAGGAGGATACTATGAGTATCGGCAAGCAAGGTGACGCGCGTGTCTGTGGCATGAAGAAAGCGGCGGGTAAACCCGGAGCAGCGAGATCGGACAGTAGGAAGGGGCAAGTTTTGCTTTAGTCCACCGGAGCCTGGGAAGTTTGTCGTTAAACACGAACCTTGGACCACATCATTGGAGCACCACTCGGGCCATGTGTCATCGTGTCCCCCCATCTCGCCCGTTTGTTCATTTCCAGCTTGTTGTTCGATGTTGCTATTTTCGTGATTCTGGTCGGTCGCTGTTTTTTTGGTAGGGTCACTGGATGCATGACAGCAATCATGCGTTCAGTGACCCTCTTATTCGCTGCTCTCTCCCCCCCCCTCCCCCCCCTGCCATACCCCCTCGCTGTTCGTCTCTACCGCCGTTGCTTGATTTGCTCGGAACAGGCTTCACTGCCCCCTGATGACGGCGGCGAGCTCTGCATGGATACATAGACTTTCGACGCCGGAAGGCGAACGTGGGACCCATCATCACGATACTCTGGCGATCGATTGATTCCGCCAGGGAAGGCGGACTAAGACATTGCTTGTTGTTGCCCGGGATTGGACGGTGTACTACGGCCAAACGTCAAGCTCGCTCACCTCTTCGCTTGCTGAGGTCGTGGTCATGGGGTGGTAAAACGCGCGTTTGTTTCGCCGTACGCAAAGGTCAGTCGTTCGTGATTTTCTTCAAATTTTCTGTTCGACTCCTGAACGAGTACGGGTGCAAAGAGAAACTGCCGTTGTTTCAAGATCAACCGTACAATGGGATCGCGTTAGAAAGCTTTCTAAGTTTCGCCTTGAGTGCCACCTACCCCAACACTCCCGGTGGGAAAGGGGAGGAGCGGGGGATATAGGTGAAAAACACCCGACGATGCACACGCCTTGTCTGACTTGGCGAGGATGCGTAAGTTCCCTAGTGTGATGCATACCAAGTCTCTTGACCCCCGTTAAAACCTCGTTTGTCGGTATCTATCTGCTATAGAACCCTTGTACCAGCTTTTCTTTTGACCTCAGCCTCCGAGTCCAAACACTGGGGTCCATTTCCCTATTAACGGCTTGCCCTACCTCGGTACATCTTTGCTGGATAGGGTTGCTGGGTTCTGTACTTAATTCGAAAGCGTAGGAGGTGTCTGGGTGCTCTCAAATTGAATCTCTCCTCCATTCCCTGCACGCCCCTCCCCTCGTCGTCCACGTCCGCCCGTGTAAGGTACCACCGAATTCGGGTCGGCGCCAAGGGGGGGCTTAATCATGTTTTGTACGCCTTAGCTGTTAGTGAGGCCGTTGACCACGCGTCCTCGAGAGGACGGAGCACTGTTCCCACAGGACCGATCGCCAATGGCCAATTGTTCCTTCCCATTTTTGCCGAAGGTGTGGCTCAACATTTTTTTGTCTTTAGGGAATGAGTAACTTTTCGCCTGTTTAGGGGGGCGGGGGCGGGGGGGGAGTTTCTTCAATGGATGGTAAACGGTTCTCGCCCGTGGTCACGTCACGTCGAATCGGTCCTTTTTTCCCTGAAAATTGTGTGAGGTCATCATCGTACTTCCCGGACCAAGTGTTCTCGGGGGGGGAGGGGGGGCAAAAGTTGTAAACCTTCTCGGCTGTTGTACTTGGGTGGTAGCGACTCAAGGGAGACACGCAACCGAACGCTGTTCGGTGCCTTCGATAGATACTCGGGCAGTTGTCATTCTCGAGCACTACACGTATCTTTACTGGCTCGTCTTGGCTCGTCTGAGCTAATTTGCTGCTGCGATTCGGTTGTAGCACACTCAGTAATAGCTAACATTGAGGCATTCGCTCAAGGGTGCTCCCCAGAGGGCGCAGATATCCTCCTGCAAGAACCCGGGGGAAGGCCTTTTCAGGGTTGGCTGTCATCGGCCATAACTTTTCATCTTGGCAAAGTTTGTCATAGCAACCAACCACCCACGATGGAAATGTGAGGGTGTGGCGTGTCGCCGCATTGGCGTCTGCGTCCACATCACCGAGCACATTGTCAATTCACCCAAGTGCTCGCAAAATAGGACCAGCGAATCATATTGCAATGACATCAGGGAGGCTCTCGGGGTCGTTTCACGACGGCCTATATCGACAGATCTACTACACCCAGCAATATCAACCATTTTGATCAGCAGAGCACCAAAAAGCTGGAGGACACGAAACGTCAAAAGCCACCAACCTCATTCAGAGAGAAAAGAAACGCCAACGCACAAAGACAGACACGAGAACACCCATGAATCAAATCGCTCGCGGAGAGGAACACACACAAACCACGGAAAGAGTACATACAAAACAGATTTGAAACCTTTATGCCTTGCCATTAGAGGCCCGTCAGTGACCACGCGCAGACACCGACGTACCGGCGAGAAAAAAAAAAATGTGTTTTGCTCTACAAAAAGAGGTCCCACGCATAGTTCCGATCGCACCAAGGCGTTTCATGGAAGGATAGGGGCATCAACCCGACGCTGGGATGCCTGAAACTCCGGAAAAATGTCGGTGTGCGTGTAGGGCAACCTCGTCTGTTACATAGTTTTTGTTCGTCAGTTCACAACTGCCAAGGGTATCTATCATTCGGGAACAACTACACTCTACATGTTGTCCGCGTTCAATCGCGGAGTCTAGACAATCAGGTCCTTGCACATCCACAAAACACAACCAAACGAGCTACCTATCTATCAGCCGCGGCGACCCCACCATCCTGTTCCTGATCGCATCTCTTCCACCCGTCGAGCTCGCAGAAAACGGAGGAAATGACGGAATTGGAGAACAAAAACCCGTCGGGATCTGACAGCCGAAGTGTTCCCCACTCGCCTCTTGGACCGCCATCGCTCGCGACTTCTGCTCTTCTATCTTCTTGGCCCCCGCTGCGGTCGTCTGGAAAACCTCTCCCCGGACTAGTTCTACCGTGGTCTCCGACGTCGCCGGCGGCGCTACCCGCACCAAGGGTGCTGCTGCTGCCGCGTCCACCGTCGTAGACAAAATCGTCATCAACACGGCCGACGTTTCTGCCTCCCTTCTCGCCGCCGGCACCAGCGTCACCACCACGGCTACCTCTTGCGGCGGTGTCGCGGACCACCCAGCCTTGCCTCATGCCCTCCGTCGCGCCTTCCTCGACCCGCCGCGCGGCGGAGTGGCCGTACTTAGAGGCAACGACCCGCAGGTCCAAGCCCTCCTTTAATCGAAACCCCAGCATGACGTCGTCCAAGAGAGCGTCCTGCGACAACGCCACAGGCAGGACTGGTTGGTTTGCTTGATCGGGGGGCAAGGGACGGGTTGGGGCGAGAGGTGGTCCTCGAAGTCGCGGCGCACACGGGTCTCCCGGGTCTCGGGAACAAGTGGCGGATGCACAGGTGCAAGCGGGGTCACCGGGGGGGTAGTCTGACGGGCTTCGTCAGAAATCGATGTTGACAAGCACCACAAAAACAAAGGCCTTGGAACATATGCATGTGTAAAACCACAAGCGCACGCCCTCCTCCGTCCAATCCCCCGGCAGCGACACCACGAGAAAGAACCTAATAGCACCACCCTGATCCCCCCAACACCAAACACCGAACACCAAACACCACCCCACACTTACCCGCTCCAGAGCTTCGCGAGAGGGGCGGCTCTCCTCTGCCCCCGCCCCATCGCCCATGCCCCCACCGCCTGGCAAAACCTCCTCACAAGCTGCCCGTCGCGGCGCACCGGTAGCCTTATCCCAGCCCTCCTCCTCCAGCTCGCCAACCCACTGCCCGTACTCCGGCAAACCCCGGGGCCTCGAGAAGCGATACCCGTCGACAAAGCTCGCCGCTCCGTTGCCGAAGGCTAGGAACGGCACGTTCTCCCAGTAGGCGCGGTTGTGCCGACTCTGGAACCCCGGGCGCGCGTAGTTGGAAATCTGGGAGGAGGCGTGTTGTTGTGAGCCAGGAGTGAGGGCAGGGGGGGCGTACTCATGTTTCGCATGCCTTAGAGAGAGGGGGGGGGGGGGGGGATCAGCCGCGCTCTTGTTCCGTTGGATTGGAGGATACTCCATTCACGACGGAGATTGGTGGTACAACGGCTTCTGTGTCAAACTTCCGATCTGTTGTAGGGAGGCCAGTTCGGGTACGGACCTGAGTTCGCTGTCGATGGTAGATATCAACCCCTGATTCACGGTGGACGTTGCATCTATATGCAGATTACAGAATGAGTAGGGTCTGTTACCGAAGAATATACGAAAAACTTCGAAATCCGACTCAAGCTTGCGGCGGATATGTCTTTGTCATAAAACCAAGAGCCATGAAGCTGCGTACATACTTGTACGGACGTCGTCAGTAGAAGCACACGCACAGGGAGACACCAGCGAAAGAGACCAACGACAGGCAAAACCGCGCGACCAAAACACGCAGCGCTTCGCTTCCACGAGATAGCTCTACGGGAGCCAAGAACGCAATCGTACTACCTTCTACTACTAGATGGCAGCGCAACGACGTCAGGCAGCAGCACTATTACTGTACACGCTCGTCCCCAACGATCATGCTCTCGGTGGGCACCATTTTCGTGTCCTGTGTGTTCTCTCATTCTTTAGTCTCGGGGTCACTGTTGCCGTGTCGCTTTGAGGCGTCTTTCCTCGGCGTGCCTTTTCCTCGAGCGGACATCTCGCGGGCATTTGCTCGTGACGGCAAGACTCTGTCTCCGCTCTCTTCTCCGGCGCCAAAAGGCTTGCTCGAATGATTCCGACAGCAAAATCTTGGGTCCGAGATTTGTCAGAGAGAGGGCAGCTATATTTCCGTCTATCGGCAAAATCTTGGCCTCCGGTACCGCCACACGACACAGCAGGACGCGCGTCCTTCGGGCCGCTTCCGGTTATTGTACCCTCTTTAGACTACAAGAATATAGCATTGTATCATTGAAATCCTCTCACCTTCGCTTCCGTTTATTGTACCCTTAAGTATGTAGCATTGAATCATTGAAATATTCTCACCTCGTAGTGGTCGTAGCCAGCCTGACCGAGGACTCCGCTTGCCGTCCGGTACATGTCCGCGCAAGTCTCGTCTTCGGGGAGAGGCGCCTCCCCGGGGCTAAACCACCGCCCGAACGGCGTGCCGGCCTCGACCTGCCCATCAGGGAAAAAAAAAAGCGACAGGTTCCAAGTGATTTGCTCTAGTGCAAAAAAACATAACACGGGGATGTTGAACAAAAAAAAAAAACGAGAGAGGTTCTTCCACGGTGATTTTGCTGGGGCGCAAAAAAAATATGGCATTGGGGTGCGGTTGACAAAAAAGAGAACCTGACAGGTTCCAAGTGGTTTGCTGGGGTGCAAACAAACACAACACGGGGGTGCCGTTGACAAAAAAAACTTGGAAACCAAAAGTAAAGCGTATGGCCGCAACAAGAGGTCGGGAGAAGGTCAACCTCAACAGCCTGCCAACCAGGCAAAAATGTGCCTCCGGCTGGGGTGCGCGCGCTTGTGGTTTTGAATAGCCACCCATGTGACCACGTCACTTCGGCAGGCTACACCTGAAACTGAAACTGAAAACGGAACATGCTTCGACTCAAAGGTGGAACCGCAGCTGTGAACGCGCTGGCCGGACCTAACCCCCATGACTGCAGCATGGGTCACTGGAAAGCGCCAGGGCTCCAGCGCTCTGCGAGCTAAGACCTAAGCTCCTCTTTAGTTGGCAATCATCACTTCTACTCACTATCTTGAAAAAAAATGTCTTGGGTGGTGTGTACCACGTCGCTGATCAACGTGCCGGAAGGATTCGATCCAACTAGACCCGCCGGCCACAATTGAGCCCCCTGAAAATGTAAGCAAGAGCCCCGCCACAACAACGCGCCAACTACCACAACTTAAGACCACGGTGGTCGAAACCGTTACATGCGAGCCAAGTCACCTGTAGGTCATAGACGCTGATGTGCGCGGCGCCCGTGGCAATCGCCTCAGACAGCGTGTGCTCCCATTGCTCGACCGTCTGCTTGGGCAGTCCACTTCACACAAACACAACGTCGGTTTCGCACGCATCCAGGCGGGGGCGAGAACGTGGTCGGGGATGGCGCGCACGAGACGCGATCGCGTGAATCATACAAAAATCCAAGGGTTATATATCTTGTACAGGGCACTTTCAGTCGAGGCTCAAGCGGTACACGTTTCTCTCACGTTATTTCTTGTGTCGTGTTTTGGTCCAGATCGTATGGGCGGTCGAGTTTTTCGCAGGCATCACCACGGCAGGAACGAGCAACTCAACACCTCAGCGGGAAACGGCGTCGTCGAACCTCTCAGCACTAGCTGCCGTTCAACAGGTGCTGCAACAACTGCCACTACAGCTTTTGTAGCTGTCGAACTCTCCTGAGGTCAGGTTGCAACCCCAAAGCAGAATGCGAAGTACCTCATGAGGTCAATGCTGAAGTTGTCCACCTTGGCCTTTCGCAACAGCTCGACCGCCTGGTACACGTCCGCCAGGGAGTGTGCCCTTCCGCAAGCCTCCAGCAACCCGGCGTCGAAAGACTGGACCCCCATGCTCACCCGTGTTATCCCGAGAGCCAGAAAGGCCTCAAGCCGAGCCTGGGCGATGAACGCCAAGTGACACAGAGAGAACGTCCGGGGGAGTGAGCGGTGAACAGTTGAGCCAACGCCACAGACATGGAGCACCAAGCCCTTGGGGTCGGGCTCTGCGTTATCCGAGGTCAGGATGGGCAAAAGGTGGACGGGGAAATAAGAAAGTGGTTCTTGCTGTTACAGTATGGCGCAAATGCCGCAAAAGACAAAATGGCCCAAAGGGCAGAGCAAACGCGGCTCGAATCATCTTGACAAGGCAACAACAGCACCAAAGAGTAAGCGCAGCAGGTATGCATGCACCACATGAGGTAAATGCGACCGTGTTCTATGGCATACTACTGCCGTGTTTTCGACGATCAAACATGGTGTGGGGTGCCCGTGATGTCCCACACCCACGTCAAAAGCTTTCGCGTTGCGTGTCTACCGCGATTTAGTGCTCACGGGCAATTATCATGAGATCGAGCATCACCACGCAACTGCTTATTATGTCTTTCGCTGGCCTAGCCAACCGGCATGGACGACGCGGGCGCATCGACCGCGTTCGCGTATGTAGACATACATACCTCGTCAAACGTACCGGGATCCATCTCGATGGATATCTCCGCGCCGGCAGCAATACCGTAGCAATTCCGCACCGTCTCGATCAGCAACCCCACAAGCTCCGGGGGGCAGAGAGAAGGCGTTCCCCCACCAAAAAAGAGCGTCTTGACGCCGCCGCCGCGGCCGGAGTGCTCCATGGTATCGTCGCCGCCAGCTCCCCCTCGAGCAGGTAATTTCGGAGCTTCGATAGCGGCGGCGGCGGCGGTTGCGCGTATCTCTCGAACGACGTTGTCGACGTACGGCTTAGCGGCTGCCGCAGCTGCTCCGGGCCGGTCGCCCACCACCTGGCGGCACGTGAGTGTAGTGCGAAGTGTCAGCAAGGCAGTGAATGCATTGACGCGTTAGTACCATGAGCGGATGGCGGGTGGAGAGGAGATGGTGGGCGGTTCGTGAAGCTTGGACGGCTAGTATACCCGCCAGTCAAGGGTCGTTTCTGTGTGATGAATACAACTCTTCGGCGGTTGTAACGCAACACTGAAGGGTGATTCGCTCGCCAACGGGTTTTGCACTCTGGCCGGCGAGCTCGATGCCTGACGTCGGAACAACGACGGAAGTTGCAACTGGAGGTTCGACGCTGGAGGTCACCACATCCACGCTGTGCGCCGAATCGATCTTTGGCATAAAAAAAAAAATATATATATATATATAAATTAACACCACCGCGAAGGTCACCCCGCTGAACGTCAAGCAGTCACAAACACCGCCTTGGACGGGTATCTGTTGCAGGAACAAGCTTGGCAGGAAAGAGGCCAAGACTGCACGCGCCCGAAGGTGACATGGTTGTGGTTTTGGCTGACCATGCGCTTCAAAATGATAAACAACACACTCCGTACAATAGAAAAGCCATCACGAGAGGCCCACATGTATCCACAAGATTTGTAGGTGCACGGCCTGCTTCCTCTCTCCTCGTCGAGACTACGCATAGACTATGTACTAATTACAGTAATAGTCTACCAGACGAGGCAACACGGAGCAAGAGGCAAAAGGCGCTAAAAACTCTATTGTTGTTGTTGTTGTTTTTCTTCACATTAAACTCGTGTCAGTTGCTAATCCCAAAATCTAGCAAAGACTCGGCCCGTGGTCACAAAAATGCTAAAGCCATCAGAAGATCTAAAGAACACGCACACTATTAGCAAGAAAAGGGTACCCAAGCCCGAGGAGGTACACCTACAATCCCTGCAGCACGTTTGCGTGCTCACAACTGAACTACACGCCCACACACTACAATTCGACTACAGCAGGCGGCATCACCCCCCTTGTCCCGCACTTCACCAAAATGAATGTTTGTCGACTACAGCGTACTTACTGCTGTCTGAAGTGCTGTCTGTACAAAATAACACCATGGTGTATGGTGCACAACAAGCTCGGGGCATGCAGCTGCTGTCTGAAGTGCTGTCAAAATGGTCCCGTGGACATACAATGAAGAAGAACAACCAACCAAAGCCATCATTGCAATTGACAATCGCCCGAATCTATCCAGATCATCTGTGTTAGACACAGCAGTGTAAACATCGGCACTGACTAGGAATCGTTCCACATTGAAGGGGTCTTCCACGATGCAGGTACACAATTAAGGCACCCGGGTTATCCGCGCCATCTCTGCCGCGTCTCTCTACAAAACCAGTGACGTCATTACACACACCTAACACCTATATTCAGGAAAAAAAAACGGAAAATATTTGACAACACAAGAGATGTTTGTCCGTGCGACACGGTTCGATGCCGTCCGCATGCTCCGGTTCCACTGCTGCTCCGGTGCCGCTGCTCCGGTGCCGCTTCTCCGGTGTCGCTGTGGCCAGTCCTAGCACGACCAAATTCGACCCGCTCCGCTTCGTACACGCTCTCGTTGCTGTCCTTCCCAGTCGGTGCCTCGCTTTCTCCCTCGTTGCACTTAGGGTTCTTGGTCTGAAAATTCTCGCGCCGAAGGGTCAACCAGCCCAGTCAGCTCGTCACCACCTGTCCCCTCCTCATTTGATGGCAAAACCAGGTTACTGAGACAGTACAGCTCCCTCTAGCAAGCATAGGGCCGTGTACATAGTGCCCGTCCACCTTTCTGATGGCGTCTGCCTCCGCGCACAAAAACGAGATGGGCATTGCTGTCTGCACCGACGGCCTCGAGGCCCGCGCATCTGCACCTTTGTACCTGACGCACCAGTGCCGACCCAACTCCACCACTACGCACGCCTTGCGGCGGGTGCGCCGTAGCAAGAAGGTATCGGTCCCTTGAGGATGAGTCTAGCCCTGCTCGCTAGAAAGACCCCCCCCCTCGCTTTGGGTCATGCCTAAGCAAAACCTTGCCGAGGCAGCGAGGGGATGAAGAAGGGAGAATATATAAAGGGGGAAGACGACGGAGGACGTGCAGCGAAAACGTCCCACCACTGTACAGCAGTACATGTATGTATGCCTTATCTCTTCCTCCCTCTCTTTATCTCTGTCTCGTTCTGCCTGTCTGTCTCTCTCTCCCTCCCCTCCCTCTTATTATACAAGTGAAAGAGGAAAAAAAAGGGAAAACGACACAACAGGGTATACCCTGGTCAAAAAGCGACACACCTGGGTACACAGTCATTAACAGCAGTAAATGCACTCATTTCATCGGTCAGCGCCCAATTTCACCCCCGGTGCGTCCGAAAAGGCGCAGGGTATACCCTGCCGTGACTACTTTTCTCAACAACTGTACCCTGTTTTCGGAAATGTACCCTGACCTGACGGGAAATGAGACCCTTTCATCAATCATGAATCTTCCCAACTCCTTTTCCCCTCCAACCATGGGATACCAAACGGCGAATCTTCCCGCCGAATAACAACCATGGCAACGGGGCAGGAATCAGTTTCCGACCCTGCGAAACAACACCAACCATCACCTCTTCGGCTCTAAATCAACAATATGGCCGGGCAATACCCCAGCACAATTTGTTCCGTTTGGAAACATGGACACACGCACAATACCCCGTGGACTACTGCTTGCTTCAGTCTATATGCGAGATGCACGGGTCACGCTATGAAAGCGAGACCGATCCAGCATGGTTGACATGCTTATATATGCATGTGTGCGTGCGTGTTGTTGTTGTTGTTGTTGTTGTTTCTCTCACATTAGCTCTATAGTCCACAAAAATGGGGAGCCGGTGGTCGCAAAACCCGGCACATACGACGCCGCGGGGAAACAAAACAAGAATAGAGTACAAATCACACGGAAAAAGAAAACAAAATGAGGGGGTTGTCTGTTGTGTCTCGATTGCGATATGCCGTGTGTGCGTGCGTGTGTTGTCCGTTGTGTCTCAAATGCGATGTGTTTCTTGCTTGAACTACTGCTGTAGCAGCAGCGGTCACGCTTACCAGCCAACCAAGCCGACCAATCAATCAATGTAGTAAGAAGACGTCAGGCTTCAGCGGGATGAGCCGATGAAATACAACGCGAGCACTCTTTCCTCTCTCCACCGACAGGGAGAGTGATTGAGTTGGACGACACAGCAGTGTCCTGCTGCTAGAGTAACGATAAGACTCGTGTGTGCGTGATTGATGTCAAGGGTGTGTCTGTGTGTGCTGGTCCTGCCTCTCCCCTCCACCCTATCTGCGGGCGCGAGTTCGCCGCCAGCACAGGGCCACACATTGGCACATACATGCATATATGCATGTCAACCATGCTGGATCGGTCTCGCTTTCATAGCGTGACCCGTGCATCTCGCATATAGACTGAAGCAAGCAGTAGTCCACGGGTATTGTACGCGTGTGTCCATGTTCCCAAACGGAACAATTGTGCTGTTTTTCTTTTTTTTATTGCCCGGCCATTGTTAATTTAGAGCCGAAGAGGTGATGGTTGGTGTTGTTTCGCAGGGTCGGAAACTGATTCCTGCCCCGTTGCCATGGTTGTTATTCGGCGGGAAGATTCGCCATCTGGTATCCCATGGTTGGAGGGGAAAAGGAGTTGGGAAGAATCCTGCGGGGGAAATGATTAATGAAAGGGTCTCTTTATGTTTGCTCAAGAATTCTGGATTATTTTTCTGCAGGCAACCAAAGAAAAACCAAGACACATGAAACAAATTGAGAGCGCAGGTAAAATGCCGTCTTGCTCCCAACGTTCTCTTATCGGACTAACCCGTTGCAAACTTCCCAAGATTGCCCTCCTATCATTACTATTGTTTCGGCCTCTGGCCTAAACATATCTTACTCCATTAGGCATGTCCGATGACCTACTCCTCCGAAGCCGCTCCCCGGTCACTCCTCGGGTTCCGTAAGGGCCTGAAACACGAACTTCGCTCCTTCACCCCCAGCCCTAACGTACACCATAAAAGCCGATGACTTCCACCTCCCGGCTCTCTGAATCTGGATTACCGACGCCCCCATACTTGCTAGGTGCGTGGCCCCCCCGATCCTTCCTGAATGCAATGCATACTTCTGCGGGTCTCTACCCGCCACGCTCACGAGTAACCTGAGGTGTCTAGATGCCTCTGCTCTCGAAATAACCTTCCACCTGTCTTGTGTCCACGATTGCATCAACGGCGCGTGACTCCCGAGCTCGGGGTGCAGATCTAACAGACCCAGTAACACCTTCAACGCCTCTCCTGATCTAGTGACGGTTGATCCCAAACGTTTCTGATCTGCTTTTGACGCTCTGAACGTGACTTCCACTCGGCTAGCCTGCCTTCTGTCTGCCCATGCAACCCTTACCGGACCGCAAAAGAAACCCAGGTCTCCTCTTGTCAGGCAAAAATCTGAGTGCACGAGCCCCGAGTCGTCCGCCCAGATTTCTGAAGCTCGGCACATCAGCAGGTACGAGAGGGCAAGTCCACACCAGATCAACTTCCCTGATTCTCCCGAATGTTCGACCACGCTCTTTCCAGCTGCTAGCATGTCCCACGAAAGTGGATTCCTAATCTTAGGCTTTGTCTGCGTATTGGCGTGGACCCTATCAATGGTCTTCAACATGGCAAGGATCTGGAAATGCGAAGTGGGCAACTCCCATCCTGCGTGCATCTTATGGAAGTACTTGATGGCTGACAGATACCCGCGAATAGTCCGACTCTGGTTCTTGTGACCGAAACACCGGCAAGCCATGAACACAGACAACTCACGCACTGCACTTTCCACCCCATCGCTCTCGCTGAGCCACGGGCCCGAACCCGCCCCTGCTCGAGCCTCCTTCCACGTGTTCCACATCCGTTGATACACCTTATTGGTACCACTTCCCAACGACCCGAAGGTGAGTGCGTTGACCAACCGCTCCCCTCGTCGCCCGTGCCTCCCCGGCCATCTTTTCCCTGTGTTCCTGATATTCGATCACCGGGCT